CAGACAAAAATTAAATGCCGCCTGCGGGGGGGAACTATAATAAGACCCGTTTTTGCAACGGGCATATAAAAATCACTGACATATATCCTTATCATAGCCAGGAGCCATAGTTAAAGTCAATGAGACAACGTCATGCAGAAAATTTTAATTGTCTATACAACAAGATAAATGTGATAAACATACCTTTTCTGTGGTGACTTTGGACAGATCTTTATATAAAAGTTTCCTGATATATTCATGCATTGGTGGTCGTACTTTTCTAACAACTTGTGGTGTGTCGGGGGGATTACTGTAGTAATAGGCATTCTCTATCATCGTAGAGTACCGACTGTCCATCATTAAAGCTGATTTCTTCCTCATCATCACATCCTACATACATTTTGTTTATATATAAATATGGTGATAGGCAGTATAATATCAATAATTTCTCCTAAAGCATCCTACACCACATGTCTACTGTCCTGTCTCAATCATGATTGAGAGAAAAAATAAATCTTTATCGTAAAAGACTAATTTCTATATACAAATGGGTAATTATTAAAACTATGTACTGGATTTTGGATTTTGTATTGCCTTGAAATTGATATACCAGGTAGTTATACGAGCTTGCTTTATATCATCATTTTAAATGCAGAAAATACTATTGCAAGAGCAGTCAATGAGCCAGGATACTCTACTATAATAAGTTCCTGTCTGGGGCTAGAGATGATTTTCACTATAAAGCATACAAAGTTTTAAAACAATACCTCAAAGGGTATAGGGAATAAGTGGAGTAGTAGCAAAAACTTGAACAGAAATAAGAAAAAGGGGCATAATTTTGTCAAAATTAATGGCAGAGTTATGTCCTTTTGCCTGGCAGAGTTTCAAAGCATACCTCAAAGGTAATAGGAAATAAGCAGCGGTGGTATGAAAAACTTAACTAATGTAATGCAGTTGCTGACCCTGATGCCTGAGTCAGAATAATAGCTCTTCCTAATATATTAATATAGTGGTCAAGCTAAAAATGTCATTTATATTCATTAATTTAAAAATTACATGTACAAGTTTATTATCATTTGTATAAGCCACTGTTAGTTATCTCCATTATATTTAAGTTTACAAGTGGATAAATATGGTAAGAACATACCAGATATACTCTTGTTCTATGATGAGAATCTTGAGATCTGTATAAAAACCGTCCACAACTCTCTAACAGGGCACATACCATCTCTATATTATGATGAGAGAAGTCAAACAACAACATCTGTAAATAGACAAGCAACGTTTTATTATATATTTTTTGTTTGGTTTTACTTTGCAAAAACACAGTATAGATCATAAGGCCACTTTTCAGCTTTATTGGTGGAGGAAGACCTCAGGTGTCCCGCTGTGCATTATTTCATGCACAAACTGGCACCCGAGTAGAACCACTGATGTTTACGAAAGCTAGCTAGATTAGCCTGATAGCTTCATCACATCAAAGAATCCAATGTTCCTGTCGGGATTTGAACTCACAGTGGTGAGGGGCAATGCACATGGTTAGAATGTCAACCACCTCAAGCAATCAGCCACAGATGCCCCAAGCAAATTTTGTAAACACCGATTTCATACTATTACTTCAGCATTACCCTGTTTTATTTGTGCAATGGACTTTCAGGCTTTGATCTTGGAACTGTCCACAGACTAGCATTAAAGGAGCCAATACTACTGTCAGGTCAGAACACTGTTGTAAGTGAAAGCTGGCCTAGCGCTTTAATGGTTGCATTGATCTGTTATAATGTCAAAGGACCAGTTCATGTGTACAACTCAGTCTAAAATGGGTTGATGCAATGATAAGCTAGATCTAAAGAAATACAATTACCTTCAAACAATGGAGGGCCTCAGCTTTTGGAAACAATTTGAATTTCACTAACTCTCCTGAAAATGAAGTACAAGTCATCACTTAAAATTTGTTTGTGAAAAAAAAATTCTTTCACAAGGTATTTCAATACAAATCAGATGATGACAGTTTTATTATAAGTAGATCATCTATAACTTCTACATCTAAATTATCTTCAAATTCTTGGTCTATAATATCTATAACTTTAAGGTCTACATTACCTATAACATTTAGATCTATATAAATCTTTGTTTACTATGTCTAGATTTTAGGCCTTTCAAGAAACTGATATGGTCTCAAATTTTATTAAATGAAGCTTTTTGAAAAGTTATGTGCAAATATGTTTTGAATTTTATAACAAGCAATTCTTGCATAGTAAAATAGCAAAAGTTTTCTTATTATTTATCTGGTCATCCAAAGAGATAACTAGAGGATCATTCACACCAAATCAATGATGCCTGCTTGAGGCAGAACCTGTGCTCAGGAATAAGTTGATCTTCAACAGTATAGCTTTAAACCTATGTTAAAACCATAACCAAATCAAGATGACTTAAAAATCAATGTATCATCTATGAAACCCCAGCAACTCTCGAAAAAAATACATGGATAGCACAAAACATTCAAAGCAGCGGAATACTTACCAATAAATCTGACTGTTTTTAACTTTGATTCTATATTGATCTGGTCTTTCTTTCTAACCTGTAACATAAATAAAGTCTCATCAGATACTAGACACTGAGTCAACAAATAAAGGCTGTATAAGCAAAAGAGTATGACCTTGACCAAAGTGACCCCTGACTCCACATTGAAGAACTATTCATTGTATCTACAGCAAAATATAAAATTTATATTAATATATTAATATTAATTAATATTCAATAAATAAGGGGTGTCTAAGCAAAAGTTAATCTATTTTTAGCAGGGTTGACATTAATCTTAACTTAGATGACCTGTAATCCACCCATAGATAGAGGCAAATCAAAGTTATCTACTAACAATATATGAAAAAACATTGGTGAATTAATTGAGGCTAGATATTTCAGATATGGCTGCTTTGTTTATATATTTGGCTGCAAGGGATAGTAAAGTCATAACATAATAAGCCATGGGATAGACCACCTTGGTGTTAATGAGTGAAATATAATTTGAACAAATCTTTGATTTTTGTTGAAACTAATTCAGTTGCAAGATTTTCTGATCTCCTTTTTTAAAGACATCATCAATTCATTTTTTGAGTACTGCATGTTGAAGAATACCATGAATACTTACATGCCATCTGAAGTCCCCTTTTAGAAGCTGAACAAGATCATTGGCTACATCAGGCATACAGGGGAATAATGTAGCAGTAAGGCGGGAATAGAATGGCAACAAATCATACCTGTAATAAAACAAGAGAGGGATAATGCACATTTGTCATGCATTAACATCTGCAGAAGCAGAAGGATGTATTTAAATCGAAAGCAGACAGGATGAGGAATTTAAGTTTGAGGGAGGGCTTCAGCAGATGTTGATGCACAAAAAAGGCGCATAAGCAATATTCTTGCATAAAAGTATGTCCGATCCCTAAGACACTGAACCTTTTCTAAAATAAATTTGTATAATGGACCTATCCAGCTCTACTGTCCATTATTAGTGCCAGGGACTCAAATATCAAAATGCTTCATTCAAGTAACCAGGAGTACAAGAGCCATGTCAACATGGCCATCCCCCGTCGAATGTGTTTGCTCATTGGAAGAATGTATATGTAGTAGAGCGGAATAATTCCATTTTAAGAGGTCTTTTGGTAATGAAAACTGATGGCTATAGTGATTACAGATTTGAAACCTATGTGAATACTGATGGCTGAAAATAACAAAGGGCAATTACTGAAAAATAATGCAGGGTAGGTTATCATTCTTGTGTGCTGCATCCCTCCTCAGTAAAATCTATCCACCTATGAAGTTTCAAGTTGATACCTCAAATACTTTTTGAGAAAAAAATTGAATTAAAAATTAAGTATGAAAAGAACAAAGGGCAATAACTCAAAAATTATAAAAGGTAGAGTTATCATTCTTGTGCAGTGCACACCTCCTGAGTGAGATCTATGCACCTATGAAGTTTCATTTTGATATCTCAAAGGCTTTTTGAGTTATGCTCTGGACAAAAATTAATTTTGAAAAATAACAAAGGGCAATAACTCAAAAATAATGCAGGGTAGAGTTATCATTCTTAAGCACTGCACTCCTCCTCAATGAGATCCATCCACCTTTGAAGTTTCAAGTTGATACCTCAAATACTTTTTGAGATAAGCTCTGGACAAAATAGCATGAAAAAAAAAAGGGCAATAACTCAAAAATTGTATACGGAAGAGTTATCATTCTTGCGCACAACATTCCTCCTCAATAAGATCTATCCACCTATGACATTTCATGTTGATATCTCAAACACTTTTTGAGTTATGCTCCACTCAGGTGAAAAATTAGGTATGAAAAATAACAAAGGGCAATAACTCAAAAATTATGAAAGGTAGAGTTATCATTCTTGTGCACTGCACACCTCCTGAGTGAGATCTATGCACCTATGAAGTTTCATGTTAATATCTCATAGGCTTTTGGAGTTATGCTCTGGACAAAAATCAATTTTGAAAAATAACAAAGGGCAATAACTCAAAAATCATGCAAGGTAGAGTTATCATTCTTGTGCACTGCACTCCTCCTCAATGAGGTCTATCCACCTATGAAGTTTCAAGTTGATAACTCAAATACTTTTAGAGATATGCTCCGGACAAAAATGTCGGACGGAAGGACGGACGGAAGGAGACTATTTCTATATCCTCCGCCGAAATTTTTCGGCGAGGGATAATAAAATCTGGTTAGAACTACAAAGAGATACAGTCAGGGCCATTTATATACTTATTTTCTTTTTTGATTTTGGTTGGGTTTATGCCCTACCAACACAGTAAAGGTCATATAGTGACTTTCCAGCATTTTCTGGTGTAGGAAAACTGATTGAAGAAGACCTCTGGTGCCTCTCTGTACATTATTTCAGGCACAAACAAACATATCTGTTATTTAGCACACAGAAATGTTGAAAGAAAATCAGAGTACAACATTCCAGAACAAAATATTCCCTTTGTAATACTAGATGGTTAAGCAATTATTTTCAATGAAATATGCAGACAAGTGTCTTTTATTTACTGTATTATGTAGCAATTTTAAATTTTGATATAAAACATTATTTAATTTTACCCATGAAATATGGTGATATATCAGTCAAATAAATTTCGTATTTTTTCAAAATAAATATGAAATATAAATATGAAAGTGGGCGGAGTCAAAACTCGTATTTATTTTAAGGGACTTCTTTGGCCATTTTGTTTGAAAAATCTGATAAATACAAAACAGCTTTTGTTGAATTTTGTTTTGAAAACTATCTAGAATGATAGAAAATGGTCTAACTAAGAAAATAAATCTGAACACCAATATCTTAAATTCAGTTATTAACGCTGTACAGATTTTAAAGAGTTGTTTACGTGACGTCACAATGTAGCGCCAAATATCGCGTGCAAAACAAGCGCAATAATATATAACTGAGCGCTGTACAATTGCAGTTGCGTAGCAAGCAATGGGGTTTGTAACCATTTTTCTTTGATAATGAAATTAAATAAAAGGTTATTTTTTTCGTTTTCCGTGAAATATGGAATATATTTTCACTCAACATAATAAAATGCCACATATTTTCACCCGCCGTCCCGGCTAGAGAAAATATGTGGCATTTTATCATGCTTCGAGAAAATATATTCCATATTTCACTCAAACGAAAAAATATCCTCTTATTATTTAATTCTACCCATGAAATATGGTGCTATATCAGTCAAATATATTTCATATTTTTTAAAAATAAATATGAAATATAAATATGAAAGTAGGCGGAGTCAAAAGTCATATTTATTTTAAGGGACTTCTTTCGCCATTTTGTTTGAAAAATCTGATAAATACAAAACAACTTTCTGTTGAAGTTTGCTTTGAAAACTATCAAGAATGATAGAAAATGGTCTAACTAAGTAAATAAATCCGAACACCAATATCTTTAATTCAGTTTTAATCGCTGTACAGACGTTTAAACAGTTGTTTACGTGACGTCACAAATTAACGCCAAATATCGCGTGCAAAACAAGACACAATTTTATATAACTGCGCGCTGTACAATTGCAGTTGCGTAGCAAGCAATAGGTTTCGTAACATTTTTCTTTGATACTGAAATTAAATAAAAAGGTTACTTTTTCGTTTTTCGTGAAATATGGTATAAATTTTCACTCAACATGAAAAAATGCCACATATTTTCACTCGCCGTCCCGGCTCGTGAAAATATGTGGCATTTTATCATGTTTCGTGAAAATATATTCCATATTTCACTCAAACGAAAAAATATCCTCTTAATATTTTTGCAATCAAAAGAACCTTAAATTCATAGCTTTATACACTTCAATAACAATTACAAGACTAATATATTTTTACCTGGTCCTGTGTACAGTAAAGAGAGCTCTCACAAGTTTCTTTCTGTTGTTTTTTGTATTAAAATTCATACAAAATTCTATGGCAGCCTGAAACACAGCATAAAATAATGCATTCATTATAAAAGATATATTACGCTCAAATTTGATATTTGTAATACTCATATTTTCAATAAGTCTCTTTTTAAGTTTAAAATAAACATCTTTTCAGTACACAAAGAGAAGATGGGTTATGTTTTATACTACAAACACTATAAGTAAACACAGTATGAATGCAGTGTCAATAAAAAAAACTGGCATACTTTTTTGTTTTTTTAAAGGACCAAATAAAATTGAGCAAGCAAGCAGAAATGCAGTTTGTGTGTACTTTTAAATTCAAATTAGACATATTCAGTAAGAATTTCCTACATTTGAATAAATTTCTTCATTCAACTTATTTTACCCAAAGATTAGCATAGTACGTCATTAAGTCTTTACATATCATGATCGGTTTATCACAAGATGTTAGTACTTGTTTTCAATGTAATACAACTTGTGTACCTAATGCTGTATATTACACAAAATATTATATAAAATGAGCCGAATGCATCAACACTATAAAATAAATGACTTTATTATTTAAATTTTGTGTGACAAATGTTGACCAAGACATGTTCAACTACATTCGCCACTGACAAAGTGTATAAAGTTACTGAATGTACCATTTTTTAGATGTTTTTTTCTCAGTTACTGAGGGCCATATATTTTTATTTGTTATTATCAGATCACAAAATCTACAGAAAAAAAACAACACTTTTAATCCTGCATAACAACATGTTGACTTAAGAGCCTTTCTAATTTTCAGTTCAAGTAATAAATGTTTCAAATTTGTTGCATAGATGTTTAAAACTTAAACAAGTAATCCTCCTATAATTTCTTAAAAGTTATAAAAGGTTATTGCCACAAACTGTTCATCTCAGATATACATACCTTATCAATGAGATCTCTGTTAAAACCCATTATAAGACTGGATTTGGGTCAAAAATTAACTTCATCAGACTACCATTCACATCCCTCTGTTAAACAAAAAATAAAATCAATAAAAATAATAAATGAACAAAAAATGTTTGACACCAAAAAGTTTCCAAGGGTTTACTGGGCAAACAAATTTTAAATTTAAAAACTAAAAATCTCGCCTTTTCCCCCCAAAGAAAACCCTTTCAAAAAGGGGCCCCAAAATTTACAAAATTTTAAAAATGATTTTTTTTTACCCAAAAGAAAAAAAGAAAAAATCAAACCAAAGCCCAAAAAAACAATTTTTTTTCCCACTCTTTATCAAAGAAATTTTTTAAAACGTCTAACATTTCTTGGGGTCCAACACGAGGGAAAAAACCTTTATAAAAATATAAAATTTTTTTGCAAATTTTAACTACAAGTACTTTTGGGGTTTAAAAATATTTATTTCGAAACAATTTTACAATATTTAATCACCTTTTTATCCGCTTCCCGAAAACCCAAACCCGTACTGGGTCATAGGAAAAAAATTTAAAATTATAAGAAATTGGGTTTTTAAATATCAGAAAGGGGGCTTTTTTTTACCCACAAAAAAAATTTGCCATTTTTAAAAAAATTTTAAATTCCTTTAAAAATTTTAAATTTTAAAAAATAACAATTTAAAAAAAAGGGAAAACCTTTTTTTGAAAAATTTTTACATGTACATAAACTTTTTTTTTTTTTAAAAATTCTCCCCAAAATTTTTTTTTTATTAAAAAACCCCATTGAAACCAAAAAGGAGGGCAAAAGCCACCTGGAAATGAAGACACTCAAGGGGGAACCAAATTTGAAGTCTCCCGCACTCATTTTTTAAAGGGATCTAAATTGGGGCCAATTTTTCCCAAAAATCTATTTCCCCAAATTTTTGACCCGATCTCTTTAAAACAGTTTTAAAATTTCACTAAAAAAAGGGGAGTGAATTTTTGAAAAAAATTTGGGTTTGGGAAACTTTTTTCCCGAAGTATTGGGGTTTTTTTTTAAACCCCCCATCAAATAAAAAAAAAAGGAAAGGGAAAAAAAAGCTTAACCCCCACCCATCTATAACAAAAACCAAATTTTGAAACCAATTTAAAAATTAGAACAAAACCATACTTCTTTTCCCGCAAATAAAAGGTGTTTTACCTTGCTTAACCCCTAACACTTTCACTTCCCTTTCAAAAATTCCTTCATAAATCCCTTTTAAACAGTATCATCTAAACCCTTACAAAGACAGGATAAATTAATTTTTATAATACATGTTTAAATCCAAAAAAAAAAATCTAAATCACTGGTATCTAAATACAAGAACTGTGAATTCATTTAATTTGGAGGACATGAAATTTCCTGGTTTTGTCACATACTTAAATTTGTGAACTGTTTATTTTTTCCAACAGGTGAAATGTACATAATGTGATGCAAAATAATCTTACAGCAGACAGAATGAAATTTTCAAATCAAAAAGAATATTTATATAAACAGTGGGATTGTCAGAAAAATTTGATATCAGGACTATTTCTCTCTTAATTGGGAAAAAGGCCTTAGCCCTTTCTTTTTGGAGTGCTTTTTGGAGAATTGCTATAATTGTTTATTTGTGAATGTGAATAGCTACTGAAAGTTTAATTTTTTGCTAAAATTGCTATATTTTAAAGAAATATTTCATTGGGAAATTTTATATAATGTGACAAACCCGTGGCCATAAAGATTTGAAAAAGTACATAAAAAGGTTTCAACACAGACAAATAAACTCAAAACAAAAATAAACAACAACATGTTTAAACAGTTTTAAAACATAATAACTTTATATAAATGATTTCAAACTCACTTTTCTTTGTCTTTTCCATAAAATCTTAAGACAATACAAACAAAATTAGCATATCACAAAAGAGAGGATCCTTAAATTTATGTCTTTTCTATAATAAGAGGATCCTTATGTCTTTTCTATAACAAGAGGATCCTTATGTCTTTTCTATAACAAGAGGGTCCTTAGACTTATGTCTTTTCTAAAACAAGAGGATCCTTATGTCTTTTCTTTAACAAGAGGATCCTTAGACTTATGTCTTTCCTTAAACTAGAGAATCCTTAGACTTATGTCTTTTCTTTAACAAGAGGATCCTTAGACTTATGTCTTTTCTTTAACAAGATGATCCTTAGACTTATGTCTTTTCTTTAACAAGAGGATCCTTAGACTTATGTCTTTCCTTTAACTAGAGAATCCTTAGACTTATGTCTGTTCTTTAACAAGAGGATCCTTAGACTTATGTCTTTTCTTTAACAAGATGATCCTTAGACTTATGTCTTTCCTTTAACTAGAGAATCCTTAGACTTATGTCTATTCTTTAACAAGAGGATCCTTAGACTTATGTCTTTTCTTTAACAAGAGGATCCTTAGACTTATGTCTTTTCTTTAACAGGAGTATCCTTTAGACTTACGTCTTTTCTTAAACAAGAAGGTCATTAGACTTATGATTAGTGATTTTTTCAAAGTAACACCTACGTATGTGCTATATCCTTGTAAAAAATAGTGTCATAATACAGTGAAATTTATGTCTCAAGTGCACCTTTTTTTAATTGGGTTTAATGTCACACCAACAAGGTATAGGTCATATGGCGACTTTCCAGCTTTACATGTGAAGGGAGACCTCAGTTGCCCCTTTGTGCATTATTTCAGGCACAAACTGGCACCTAAGTAGAATCACTGACATTCCATAAACTAGCTGGACAGCTTTTTCACATGAAGAATCCAAAGATGCTGGTGTGGCTCCAACCTACTGCAGTGAGAGGCAAGTGGTTAGAAGTCAATAACCTTAACCACTAAGCCACGGACACACCTCTCTAACATGTAACTAATGTCTATTCTCAAAGATAGGCATGATTATCATTAAAATTAAAGACTGATAGAATTTCTATACTTTTGGCATGACCAAGTCACCCTGTCATAAACCGTTCTGTACCACAACTACCCACATTCAACTAACTTACTCTACAATTCAGCCACAGAGTAAACTATAATCAATCATACTTTCTATAACAAGTCTAATATAAATGGCTATTACCTTCAACAACGGGAGGGAGTATCTGTTCCATAGTTGCCTCTTCCTCTTTACCATCATCTGGTGTTTTGGCTTCATCTTTATTCTGTTCCTCAGCAAGCTGTTGCTGGGTCTCCATCTCACGTTCTACATCCTCAATCTCCAAATTCTCCATGTCTACAACCAAACACATAATTGAGCCGTGTCACGACAAAACCAACATAGAGCGTTTGCGACCAGCATGGATCCAGACCAGCCTGCGCATCCGCGCAGTCTGATCAGGATCCATGCTGTTCGCTTACCAACTCTATTACAAGTAGAGAAACTGATAGCGAACAGCATGGATCCTGATCAGACTGCGCGCATGCACAGGCTGGTCTGGATCCATGCTGGTTGCAAATGCACTATGTTGGTTTTGTTGTGACGCGGCTCAATTACAACATCAAAATGTGTAGTCTGACCAGGCATTATACAATCAACTGCTTTTTATTCATTTATTCTTTTGTTTGGTTGGGTTTTACATTGCCCCAACACAGAACAGGGTCATATGACAACTTTCCAGCTTTACAGGTGCCCCTCTGTGTATTTTATCAGGAACCAACAAACACCTGAGTAAAACCAATGATGCTTCATATGCTAGCTGGATAGCTTCTTCAAATGAAAGTATACAAAGTCACTAACAGGATTTGAACCTCATAAAGGAATACAAAGTCCCTTTTAGGTTTGCAGAATTCGAACCAAAAGTGGTGAAGTGGCAAAAGTTTGGAAGTTGACAACCTTAACCACTTGGCCACAGACATGCCAATCTGCATATACAATAAAAATGTATACTTTCACTTGATTGTGGATAAAAGCTTACAGCTTATTTCAGCCAATCTTATTTGCTTCCTGGAACTTATCAGTACTGGTGGAAACATGTTTGTGATCCTCCAGTAGGGGCTTGAACTCATGATCCCAGGGCTGAGAGGCAGTCAGTTTAACACTCCCATTCATTGATAAATTTGAACATTGTGATACCATATGTTGTGGTCACACAAGGAATTATATAGAGGATATTTGTTTGTTTTGCATGTAAGATTGAAATATAATTTCACTGAGTGAACACCAGATGCAATATTTTCACGAGTGGCGTAGCCACGAGTGAAAATATAGTAGCTGGTGTTCACGAATGAAATATATTTCAATCTTATATGTAAAACAAATAAATTTTCTTTTTATTTCATGCTTTCTAAGTGATTTTATGTATTTTTTACTGATTTTGCCGCGTAACGTCGCGCATTCTGCTTTGTGACGTCATCACATCATGACGTCACATCATCAATTTTGAAATATAGTTCTGTTAAATTTCTCTAATTTTGTTACATTTTTAACATGATGTATGGTGACATCGACTTTCTTTTCCTAAAGAAGCAAAATTTACGCATGACAGTTTTTATTTCAGCCTGTTATTCCATTTTGTTATGATTCTCTTTTCATCCGCATTCAGATATAGTCCGGCTACAGTGAAAATTATATTTTATAAATTTCACTAGTGGTTTATCAGAATATAATCATCTGATATATTACAATAAAACACTGGAAAGCATGAAATAAAACAGTTAGTTGAATGAATTTAAAAGTTTGATAAAAAAAATCTGTCGCATTAAAGGAATTCAACTGAGGTAAAAAAGCCAAAAAACAATTTACAATAATATACTCTGAAATAAGTTGAAAATCATATTTTGGTGTTAATTTTAACCTAATTTTAGTGTTGCAATGCTTTTCAATTTTGGAACATTTTCAGGAATAATGAATGATCTGAAATTTTGCACAAAGTTATTGCTCTCCAATTTCGTCACGTGGAAAATAAAACTAAAAAATAAATTTTAATTTTGTCATGTCAAAAAACCTCAGTGGAGAGTCCCTTTAACAATGTGAAGATAGACTCACCATCTTCGAGGCCAGTCTCCGAATCTGTTTCCTTCACTTCATCTTTACTAGCTGACTCACTCTCTTTATACAATATCTGTAACACAAAAATAGTAACATCTTATTTACAACTATTTACAATGAATTTACAGTAAGAGGCTTATCCAAACCTATGCTTAAAGCTTATGTTTTGTACTGTTAATCATTACAGACTATAAATAAAGTTTGTCTTACTGTCTCAATGCTAGATTTATATATGGACTCAAACTTCTTTTTATTTGGAACTTTTTATATTCATTCCAAGTGATTTCAATAGCAAAAGGCACAGATGTGCAATCTGGCCTGGTTCTTTACTGGTAGCATTGGCAAAACATTCTTTCTGGTAATATTCTATGTTTGTTTGTTTTGGGTTTTACGTCACATCGACACAGTATAGGTCATATCGCGACATCCAGCTTTACTAGTGGAGGAAGACCTCAGGTGCCCTTCCGTGCATTATTTCAGGCACGAACGGGCACCTGAGTAGAACCACCGACGTTCCGTAAGCTAGCTGGATAGCTTCCTCACATGAAAGAATCCTAAGTCCCTGTCGGGATTCGAAGCCACAGCGGTGAGGGGCAAGTGGTTTGAAGTCAACGACCTTAACCACTCGGCCACGGTAATATTCTATGTAATAAACTATTCCTATTGATAAAATGCAGTGATAAATTCATAAATATCATTACACATTGTCCCTAACTAGGTCAACTACAAGACCTACTTTACTGTAACAAGGTTTTATCTTTTTCCTAAGTTTAAAAACAAAAATCATCTGATCAAATATTAAAAAGCTCTTTATAAAAATGGATTCACAAACTCATTAAAAGTAGAGCGAAACAATACGAAAGTCTTTTAACTATAGATAACAAACCCCTGGTATTGAAGCTTTGAGATCTGGTAATGTTTCATATAATGTCCTGGTCTCTTCATCCTCCCACAAGCTAGTGTCTCCTTCATATTGAAACTGTAATTTATTAATACATTTTACAGATTACTCGAAACTAGTAGCAAATAAAATCTTTAAAACTTCCTGATCTGTTTAAATCATTTATTTTACAGATAGATGAAACAAACATTGGACAGAACGATGATACCTGTCATGTATTGCAGATCCTTGCATATTCTACCATACTTTAAATACTTTACATTAATTAATTCATTTTTCATGGAAATAAATGTCAATTCATCCATTACTTTGTTTCTAACAGTGGTGTATGAATTTACAACTTCATTTGTAACAGTGAAATGACTTCATTTTAGTCAAACAGTTTTATTCTAAAATGTATCAAAAAAGCACAAGCAGCACCCAATCACCCCCCCCCCCTAGTTCCCAGCCAATATGCATAGGATCTCAATTTTTTAAGGTTTTTTTTTAGACAAGATGGATAGTTTCTTCATGCATATGAAAAGGCATGTTTTTTTAATCATCCAATCTTTTCAGAGACAAGAAAAAACTAATGAATATCATTAACCCTCATTGAAATTATCATAAGGACCTTAAAGTTTGCTGAACTGTTATCTAATACCTCATAAAAATTTCTTGCTAAAACATATTGTTTCAGTTAAATAGGAAGACTACAGAAGTATTCTATGGAGCCAGATGTTTCTCTCTTGTTATAAAGTTGGGGTACTGGTATTCTTAAAAAAAAAAGAAAAAAAAAAAACTCAACAAAATGTCCCCCCACCAGTTCTGAATATTTAATCACAGACAAACTTTGTAAAATATATGCACTGTATTCATATAATTAGCATATTTTTTCTTGCTATAATCATCTCTTCATAGTACTGATTCTTTAAAGCAGCATGCCTCTAGCTTTATGTTAATTTTTATGAAAATTCTCAAAATGTATTTAAAAGTAAAATATTGTGAAAAGAGCAACAACAGTAATTAATACATTGCAAATGGCTCTAACAATTCATATTAATTATAAAAAAGATGACAAAATATGCAAAAAAAATACTTTACTGTGTTAGTCACTCAGTAGAGATATGGTGATAAATATTGCAAAATCACTGATAAATGGCACATAAGATGTAAATCATTTCTTGAATCTTGAGTCCTTTTACTTTTCTTAAAACCTTAGTACACTTTTCTCAAGTTTGATTTTCTTGAAATATTTTAGCATATCTGGAGGCATGCAGCTTTAAAGCAAAACAGGTAATATTGTACTTTAATATAAGTTTGTTATACCTCAAGATTTTTTAGGGGATTAAAGATGTCAAGACCACCATCATCTTCTTGTGTATCATCCTCCGGTAACTCGGGCATGTCTTCATCTAATAGGTCCTGTAATTGTTATAACATAATCCAACACATTAAACATAATATTTCATAATGATTTGTTTGTTTGTTTCATTTTACGCCTTTTCCCAACAGTATTTCAGTCATATAGGCGGGTAGTTTCCTAACCATCGTTCCTGGAGAGTTACACCAGTACAAGACTACCTTCCTCCGCGCTAAACTACCAAAGCATCTCCTGGGGATCGAACCCTTGCCAAAAAGGTAACTGGATTAGAAGTCATCAACTCTAACCCCTCGACCACGGAGGTGGTTTATTTCATAATGAAACAACCACATTCATCATAATATTCCATAATGAAATAAACAACCACATTAAACATAATATTCCATAATGAAATAAACAATCACACAAATTTCAAAAAGGTCCATAATTCTGTCAAAATCCATGTTATAGTTATGGGGCTTAGACAGTGACCACCTATTATGCTCTCAAAAAAGTGTGTGAAGTTTCAACCTATTTCCTTTAGTTCTTTTAGAGATACCATCTAGCAAGCAAAAACTTAACCAAAGTGTGATGCCGACCCCTGGGTGAGTACAATAGCTCTCCATATTCAAAGACATAGTCGAGCTACAAATAATGTAATGATTTTAAGATACAGGTCTTCTCTAGATATCGGTAAATTATAACATTTGCCAGTCTGAAACTTGAAATGTTGCTGTCAAGAAGTTTTTAGATAGATATTAATTTTTCTTGCATTATAGCATAATTATGTATGGTTTATAATTCAAATGCTTTGTAATTAATCAGTAAGGCTTATCAGCATTCATGATTATATTCCTCCACATTTGAACTCGAACCATGCACTTTTCTACAGCAATGCACTCAAAATTGATACCTTTTTCCTAAGACGAAACAACTTTGTCACAGAAAGTTGAAATGAAGCTCTAAATAGATTAAAAAATTTAGACTTACAGTGAAAACCTGGGTATTGCTAAATAATTTTTGGTAGCTGTTGTAGAACTCCTCATATTTTTCTTTTCTTTCTGAACTCAATTCTCCCTTTGTCTAAAATATAACAAAATGCAAAGTGCTGTTACTGAAGTGAAGTAACAAAGTATATATAAATTGAAGATATGAAATAAAAAAAAAGTTTTCCTTTAATGAAAGTAAAATTATAAGTGGCATAATATACTGGGATATTGTCTAAAACTGTAAAATCATTTTGTTTTCAATCATATAATAGCCTTAACAAGAAAAAATTTAACACAAATGTACTTGTGAGAAAATCAAATAAAATGTTCACTAAAAAAACAATCAAATAAATATTAAGTAGGTTAAGCAACAATTTTGACAATACATCATATTGTAACCTACATTTTTTATGGGCTTAGGTTTTATGTTGCACGAACACATAAAATGCATTTATATATAGATAAAAACTGTTTAAGGTTCTCCATTGAGGTTTATTGACATGATGGGACTGAAAACATTGTTTCCAGATTTTCATACCATTTGATGTAGGTCCATGCAAATACCTAGTCTTATTTAATATAATATAATATCTGGTTATAAATTGTAAGTGCCTCAGCTGTTCTACATACATGTGAACTTTTTTCGATGATCAAGTGGGAGATTTTTCTTCAAAAAGAGGGAGATTTTAGAATTTGCAATAAACAAAGAAGAAAGTTTTGATATAAAAAAGAGGGAGATTTTAATTGTTTGCAATAAACAAAGAAAGAAGTTCTGACATAAAAAGTAGGGGAGATTTCTTTAATTTGTGAAAATACCCCTTATTTTAAGAAAAATCTTTGAAAATATGGCTGCAGAAAGTGGGAGTCTCCCGCTTAAAGTGTAAGAGTTCACATGTATGGTTCTATGGAAGATTTTCAAATATTATGACTTTAATAGGCATTTAGACCTCAGTGGAGCTCCTTCAATATGTTTAGTCAAAATGCATACCAGCAGAGTCTTTCTGTTTTGTTTCTCCATATTTTTCAAGTTTTTATGGTCGGCTACAAGATGTTTACACAGACTGTTGTAATAATCTCCCAACAGGTTCCGACAACCTTTCTGTCTCTCTTTCTGTAATACCTGTAACAATATATGATATTAAACCAATTATCTCTTTTTCTAAGCAGCAATTTTCCAAAAACATCTTAACGACCAAGTTGGCCTTAATAGAAGTCTATTAAAAAACAATAATTAATTATGTTTGGGAAAATGTCTGAGAAAGATGATGATTTCAAATTGTTTGAAAATCAAACACCGGTCGCCGATCATGAGAAGGTCCTTGAAGGATATCTGGATCGACAACAGCTGAAAACCATGTTTTTGCTTTAGTGGTGTATTACTAGGGCTGGGAACGAATAAGGAATTTGATGTTCGAATATTCATTTTCCATATTCGAATGTATTCGAATATTCGCTTTTACAACATTTGTTCCAATATTTCTCTTTGACGTATACGTATCCGAAATTGATTGCGTCGAATACTATACTACTATAATATGCTTGGAATAATCGACGATTAAAAATACCTATATTACTACGTAAAAGTGTTAAATTTTATAAATTGCAAATCAACATAATTGTTTACTTTTGAAATAAATTCATAATTTGATTGCCTTTTGTTCAGTTAATCCGACAGTTGATCATCTGTCTCATTAACGGGAGGTAATTCGACAGTAATATGAATCACGGTAGCCACTTAGCCCCAAAAACTCATAATTTATATTGAAACTGAACTTGAATATATATATATTTTTTATTTATTTATAATTTTAGATAAGGTTTAAAATATTCTTCAGATAAATTTAGCTATAACGCAGTAAATATCTCACAGCGTCTAATTTCACGGAATAAATATATTTTGACGGATTATAAACCCTGAACATGCTTTCATAAAGCACCGATTAATGCGTGTCGATTTTTTCGTTTTCACAAAATTTAAGACAATTACTGATTAATCAGAAAGATTATTGCACAGAAAACAATAAATAAGAAAATAAGATAACATAAATCACAAAGAATTACATTATATTCTGTTAAACCGGTAAATTGCAAACTGTGAAACGGGTGCCTTTTTTATCAACTAGACCCCAAAGTTTTCACAGTTAATTGGCGATAATCGTTGACACGCGTCATACAAACGTGTGAACACCTGGTCAAGTAAAGGTCAATGGTTTTATTGAAATATGAAAGTAATAACAAAAAAAAAAAAACATTCTTTTTTTTCGAATATTCGTATTCGTTTTTCAATGTTCGAATATTCGGTAGAGTTTCGAATATTCGAATATAATTCCCGGCCCTATGTATTACTGAGTATACCTCACTATGTGTATTTTTCACAGACTGCCGTATTTCTGCTAGTAAACACCCACTTATGTAACATTGTTAAACAAGCAATTATCATAGTATTGCAAGCAATCCATAAGTCCCCTACCGGTTAGAACCCCATCAACATTCTGAAGGGCCATTGGCCATTCACTAATTTTCAATTTTTCTCTATTTTTAGTAAATTTGTTGGAAAAGTTCTTTAAAAGTGATCACAGGAAACAGTTTTAACAGTTTTTATGAACAGACATACAGACGGACTGAAGGACACTCTAAAATCAATATTTAAAACATCGCTGTTACCAAAATATAACATTTTTTAAAGCAAAATTCTTAAAGAAGAGATAACTTTTGAATAAATGATGCAATTTCATAAAAATGTTCATCTCTTTTTGACTTATCACAAAAATTGTTATATTGGCCATGTTTTAAGCCTATTGGTTGCCATGGCAACCATTTTTTTCAAAATAGGAAGAAACGATTAGACATGCATAATCTCCAGACTGCCATCTACCCATATGTCAAGTTTCATAAAAATATTTCCAGTTCTTTTAGAGTTATCACTGGATTCAGTTTATGTGTAAAATTTGCCATATTTTCAGTCTATGTGTTGCCATAGCAACCACAATTTTCAACATAGAAAGAAAAGAAAAAGACGTGCATAATCTCCAGACTGCCATCTACACATATTACAAGTTTCATAAAAATATTTCTATTACTTTTTGCGTAATCACTGGATCCAGTTTATGTGTAAAATTTGCCATATTTTCAGTCTATTTGTTGCCATAGCAACCAGAAATTTTAACATAAGAAGAAAAGAAAAAGACGTGCATAATCTCCAGACTGCCATCTACCCATATTTCAAGTTTCATAAAAATATTTCCTGTACTTTTTGCGTTATCACTGGATCCAGTTTATGTGTAAAATTTGCCATATTTTCAGCCTATTTGTTGCCATAGCAACCAGAATTTTCAACATAGGAAGAAAAGAAAAGAAAAGACGTGCATAATCTTCATACTGCCATCTATCCATAGATCAAGTTTCATAAAAGTATTTTCATTACTTTTCAAGTTATCGCGGGATCCAGTTTTGTGGACGGACGGACAGACGGACGTCCGGCCGAAATGGAATAAAGGGCCATTTCTTTTGTTATTTTCTATTGTTTAATAGAGGGCCAATGGCCCTTTACTCTATTGTTACGGAATGAACTCTATTGTTCTCTTTTGTTCTGTTTACAGTTAGATGGCCCTCTATCCCTATTCGGTAGTGCGGACAGACAGACGGACAGAGGGTAAACCTAAAGTCCCCTCCGGTAAACCGGTAGGGGACTAATAATGACTTTGTGATATTTGGCACAAAAAAAAAGACATGGAGACATCATACTTAGTTTATTTTCTTAAATATAAGGTATGCACATGTCTTTTTTTTTTAAAATATGTGAACCCTTATACGTTTATCTCAACATTTTGTTATCTCGATATTTTTTGACAGTCCTGATGACTTCAGACAGCGAGAGTCAACTGTATATAGTATCACATGTAAGAACAAACCACAAAAGAATTATGCATGCATGTTAATTGTTGGCAAGTGTGAGATACATGATCTGATATTACATATTTATATAGCAGATAATAAATTGCTGAAGAACAAAATAGTATAATCTTTATCATCTCTATAAAACCTGGGTTAAGGTTCTTTTGATTAGATTTTACCTCTCATGAAACCTTGGTAATAATTTTTTTTCCATAATATATTATCTCTTTAAAACCTGGGTAATAAATATGTTGATGCATTATTATCTCTATAATAAATGGGTCATGGTTATTTTGATAAGACAATCTCTCTATAAAACCTGGGTACATTATTTTGATGAGATATTTTACCTGGGTAAAGGTTATACTGACAAGATACCTCTATAAAACCTGGGTAAAAGTTATTTTGACGAGATATTATCTCTATAAATCATTTGGTCATGTTTCTTTTTTTTGGACACAAATCATCTCTTTAAAACTCGGGTCATTCAGGTTCTAATTATGCTCCTAAGAGCGAGCAAAAAGCACACCAGCTGTATGGCTTCTTCACATAAAAGAATTCGAATAAGCCAGAGGTTCACAACAAGGGACACAACTCAAAAATGTCCTCCTTGAGCGTTTCAACTCAATTTCTTTTTAAACTTTTATTAAATCTAACATTATTGAGGAAATCTAATTTTTTTTATTGTATCTTCTATCAAAATAATAGAATTTAAATAACAAGACATCTCTGTCAGACTTAAAGAATGTGAAATAAGATTTAATCAGAGATAATATAACTGTATCCATTGATAAATACTATGAAATATTACCTTGCTCCTTGGGATTTCCACGTTAAACCTCTCTGCCAAACATCTGTAAATGTTACATAACAATCTAAACACCAAATATTGTTCGTTTAAATTTGTATTGCCATTCTAATATTTTCAACCAAAAGCATTTTGTTTAAAATTTGATTTACATTCAAACCAAGTCTTTAAGTGTCGAAAATAGAGTACCGCTCAAGCTGGTGCTTGTGGGTGTGAGGAATGTTGCATTATTCCTGACGTACAGACTCAATCAAACGGAGTGTGCAATTTTCATGTAATTTTGTTGTGATTAAAACACTTCTTCTTTTAGATTTGTGATAAATAGAATATTACATTTATGTAGTTTCATTTATTAATTTATTGAATTTGTTGAATAAAACAATATGAAGGGGAGTGGTGGCCAAGTGGTAAAGGTGTCTGTTTAACCCAGAGATCATGGGTTTGAGCCCTACTTGGGTCACAACCATGTTTCTTCATATGACACAAGTACTGGTTGGTTCTAGGTAGCATACTCGAAAGTGATTTATATTAGTTGAAAGAACTCATTTCGCAATCAAGCTTAACTGAGTATGTTTAAACTAACAAAATAATATCATGCTTGCTTGCATAGTATATAGAGGATATTGAATGAGTGTAGTTTAATACTAAATTTATTGAACGAGTTGAATAAAATCATATTATGCAAGCCTCTGGCGAGCATAATATTGTTTTATTCAACGAGTTCAATAAAATTTAGTATTAAACTGCACAAAATATAATATACTATTTATCACATATATAAAATAAGAACAGTAAACTGTTAAAATGAGTAATTTTCCGATGACGCGCCTATAGTGTAACGCTAACATAAGCACGCTTTAACGCTTTGTTTCTATATAGAGCAAATGACGTCACGTCAAAGTGTTATTACACTAGTGTAATATCGTTTTTATTAAATGGCTTTATTACACTCCTGTGCCGTGGTTTATGTGATAAAATTTTATTCAACTGCTGCAATAAACTCAGTGTTGAACCTTCACTCATCAGATGTTCACTATTTAAGGCATATACCTGTATTTTCTTGGCAGTAAACCAGCATAATCATCACCACAATGTTTACAGAAGCTTGTTAATATTGACAGATTATTATGCTCTTCCTTGTCATTAGTAGTAAGTATAGCCAGCTGATTGGCTAATAATGGAAGCCCCTCCTTATCCTTAAAACACGCCACTGCTACAAGCTCAGCAAAAAATCTAAGATCCACTCTGTACTTGCTAGGATTGCTTATCTGTAACCAAAGAATTATATCAGTAAGGTATTTCTCTATAATTAACTCGTACAAAACTGACCATTTTGCTATCTTCAATTATATAACATTTCATGAAGATGAGAGTTAGGCTAGCTGATCAGACTTTTTTCTACCCAATTACAAGTATACCAGCATTTCAGAGTGCACTTGGGTACCCATTGGCAACTGCCAATTAAGGGATCACCAGTTTAATTTTTTACAGTTCCAACAAAAATTTAAGCAGTTGCTCAGGTGGCACTTTAGAAATCTGATTGACTTTGATATTAATATTGTAATTACAAAACAATAGAAAAAATTACCGATCGCTAAAAAAGATGAATTGTAAATTCTTTTGTCAAATTTTAACAAGACTAGTGTTAATATGATACATTTAAATGAATTTCAATATGTATTTGTGTGACTGCTATTCCAAAATTAGCAAAGAAGCCCCTGTCTTTTTACTAGATGTACACATTACTGTATGGAGCCGCTTACTCATATCAATTATATGCATAGTGTGTATTTTTTGTCAAAAATGATAAGATCGATTCAGGGTGTAAACTTTTTACTAGCTGGTTCAAAGGTGGCAGGTGTCGTTTAATTTATGTGATGTTTACATCGCCGAATTAAAGGGGCAGTGTGACCAATGGAGCTGCATATTGTGTCACACAAAAGTGGTAATTGCAGTCAATTATCGGCAGTCACTGTATTACACCCAGAGGCAAGGATTAAATCTATTGATAACAGCAGTGTTATATACATACAGTAAGTAAAACAGCGTGGTAATTAATTAAAAGATTACTATGCATTACTTATTTTTTTTTTTTTCAAAAAAATTAAAATCCACAAATTAAAGATCCACGAAAATGCCAGTTTTGATAAAACCACAAAATTTCATGCCCATGAATATAAATGATATCACAGTATTGCACTAAGGTGGGGAATTAAGAGCTTTACATCACACATAAGCTGACAAGAATGAAAAAATTCAACAAGCATATGGTAGATCATGTACCATATTAAACCTAGAATATGAAAAAAATCATCTTGTTTATCTTTAATAAAATATATAAGTTCTTCACCTTTTCATCCTTCTTAGTTGGGAAGTATTTTTGCCAATTTTCTAGAAGACTTGGAGCAAACTCAGCGTACCTTTGATGCATGATACCACATATATGAACAGCACAATTTATATCTGACATCTTTAATTTAGCTTCTGTTATCGATGCTGCCTACAATATAAAAATACATTTGTTTGAAGAATTTTAGATATACTATTCCCAAATTTGATATAAGAGAATATTGATAATTGCTACACAGTCTCTTTGTAAATATAAAATAAGCATGTTTCGACTTTACACAAAGTAGATATGTTATGTTTAAGATTCTGCACACTATAGGTGGTCACAATATGAACATATAGTGTCATTTAAAAGCACTGACTTTTTTTAAGAAAAGACCAACTTTGCTTAACCTGTAATAAAGAACGCAGCTTCCCATTCATAGTTTATTCATTCTTTTATTCAAATTAGACATATTCAGTAATAATTTCAAGGATTTCAATAATTTCTGTGATTAAAATATTTTACTCAAGGATGAGCTTAGTATATCTTTCAGTAACAGCTTAGCCTAACTATGATCCGGTTTTCAGATTCCTGAAACTAGGTTTCAAGATCTAGTCATTCAGGTCACAAATATTTCAACAGTTTAGTGAAAGCATACATGTTAAACATTTCTTACTGGAATATTACTTACTGGCTTCTGTATTTATATGAAATTGACTGCTGTCATGATCAGGTGCCAGAGAAATGAATATCTTCATAAAAGAAAACATGTTAGTTAAAGGGATATTATGCCCATAAGTTGAGCTAAAGTGGCTATATATTTTAAAAGATTGACTATGATACCAGCATTTAACTAATAATACAAATGTAGATACTGTAATGAAAAACTGCCTTAAATGCAAAAAGACTGCCCCACTCTTTTTATCAATTGAAAATTATTAATGCATTCTGAAGGATATCTTTAGAATTTCAGCCAGTCACACAAGTTACTGAAATAGAATACAGTCTAACTTGCCCATGCGACCACGTGTATTAAGCGACTTTTGTCTTAAACGACCACTTTAAATTCCCCCCGATCATTTTCTCTCTATATCTTTAATGTATTAAGCGACTTTTGCTCAACGCGACCAGCGACTGCTAATTAGTCACCTAATTGACATCAATCTTTTCATTAAACGACCACTTTTACCTGTCAAGTAATTGTGTTTTAAGAGAACGCCACCTCGTTATGTCACAAGTGTCAGCAATCAAAACACAACAATAAACGTGTGAAACACTCTATTTCCCATACCGTTTTAGCGTATGCAAATGAAGTTAAGTATACGCGTGACGTGTTTTATCCAATAATATCGGATAAACAATGCAACGCTCCGCCCATACTGAGATGGTGTATACGCTTCGCTTGTTGACATTTAGACTGCATTGAATTGACCTTGACCTTGATCAGCCATTAAATTAATCGTAACAAATAGATGTAGTTTGTTTATTTCAAATGAAATAATGCACAACAGAAAACATCTTCACTAATAGGGTTTTCGTGTTGGAGACAAGGAAAAACAACGGAGAAGTTAAAAAATTCTGGAAAAATGTCAAACATGTACGTAATGGATCAAAACTGTTTTGTCAATAAATATCGGAACGTTATTTTTACATTTGCATCCGTTTAGATTATCGGACCGTACTTATTATTCAACATTTATATAAAAATGAAGTTGAAAAACAATCCCATCGAATAAAAAAGATGTCATTTATAAATTTTGACTTTTATATCATGCTGACTGTCTTAAGAGACCGTTTCATTAAGCGACCGTTTTTGGTGTTTCCCTTGCCCGGTCGCTTAATACACGTTTGACTGTATAAAATTGAAAAAAAAAAAATTATTTGGCAAGTTATTTTGGATTTGACCTGTTCAACCATCTTCACACTTGAACAGGGAAAATGTCACTTTAAAAAAAAAGAATTGATGAAGTTAAGGGTTGTTTTCTCATGCTAAAGGTCATACTATACTTGGTGTCTGGCAACAAATTTTGTATCAGTATTACTTACCACTTCTCCAACATATTTGGTAAGATTTAAACCATTAAACTCTTTGGTCAAGCTGTCTTTCTGTGACTCTGTCAGAAATTTCTGTAATGTAAATAATGTCAAGTAACCAAATATTTGATACTACTAAAATACATGGTTAAAAGTGGCATCTGTTCTTTATGAATAGCATTAAATTAAAATTTTGTTTTCTTGCATATCAGACTGGCGTTTCCGTGATTTTTACCCATGCCGGAAATTTCATCTGGCATGGGGGGTGCCAGATGATTCGCGTGCTGTACAATGGCACGCTTAGGATGACGTCATTTTACCGTTATGAATGAAGTAATTCATATGCTGTTGTAAGAAAGTAGTTACGGTTGCAATGATATAAATTTCCATTGAAAGTAAAAATAAAGAATTTAAAATATAATGGAATATGGTAGAATATGCAAGAAAAAATATCTGACATATGTTTGCGGTTCGGATCGGAATATCCATCCCTCGGTCACCTGCCCAATGGGCGGGTCACCTCAGTACGGATATTCCGATCCGAACCACAAAATATGACAGATATTATTATTCTACATTATCATAACTAAATAATGTCAATCACTTATGACTTATAAATAAGCTGATCCCATTCATTGTATAACTGTTTCATCTTTCTCTTAGAAAAAATAATACAAATGCATAGTTTCAAATGTTTAAAAAAAAATTAATTTCAGAAGAATTGCAGTAAATAATGGCATGATGTACTGCAATTTGCAAGGCATGGCCGAGTGGTTAGCATGTGGGTTCAAATCCTGTCAGGAGCAAGCGGTTGTTTCTTTGAGCAAAAAACTCTGATATAGGCAATAACCCTTTCCCTTTCCCCCATGAGCATATTGTGAAAAATGGCCATTTTCACCAAAAAGCCTCCTCTTACAAGTTCAAACTGCTATGAAACTATGAAAAATGCTTCAATGCTTCAATACTAATCAAACTTGGCACAAATGTTGACTGGACCATTGCCTTTGTAACGACATGCTCAGTCTTAAATTTCCTGTTACCATGGCAACGAGGGGACATCTCAAAATTGCCAAAAATCACTATTTTGCCTCGATTTTTTCCATCAAAATTTATTTCAAAGTGCTGCAACTTCTCAAGGGATTGAGATAGAGTCAAAGGCTTTTCAGCGTTGGTTACACGTTACCTTATGATCGACCAGAGGTCATTCTAAGCCTCTCGCAAGTCCAAAATTTTCTTGGCGAAAAAGTGCTCACTTTTTTAGCAACCTTTCTCAAACAAAAACATGTGTTTGGGGCCCAAATAGGACATTTTTTCGGGGGGGGGGGGGGTCGAAAGTGCGTTGTTTCGCGAATATATGAGGTAAAGGGTTAACAAAAAATGATGAAAAACTTTGGAATCACCCAAAATCTAGTTTTTCCATGTAAACATGTGGTCTTTTACCTAATTTTGGTAAAAATTGTTGTTTTGTAACATTAATAATTTTTTTAGTTAACCCTTTCCCCCATGAGCATATTGTGAACAAGAGCTGTCACAGGAGACAGCAAAGCTCGACTAATAAAATACTGGACACAGTAAGGAGGACAAAACTATGAAAGAAAAATCAATTATGTATAATTATGTATTAAGTTATAGTAAAAAAATAACATTTGTTAACATAAATTCCAAGATCAAGGGGAATAATTCTAGAAATAGTCATGCTAGAGTTATGGACCTTGCCACACAACATTTGTGTAATGATAAGAAATATATATTTGAAGTTTGAAGTAGATACCTTAAAAAGTAAAGAAGTTATTATATTTCTTAAAGAAAATCCTAAGTTCAAAGAGAGATAAATCTGTAAATATTGTTTCAAGAGTTATGAACATTGTCAGATAAAATGTAATTGATGATAAGGAATAAGTATTTGAAGTTAGAGGTAGATACCTTTAAAAATAAAAAAGTTATAATAAAAAATAACATTTTTCTAGTAAAAAAATCTAAGTTTATGGGGAGATAATTCTTGCAATATTGATGCTAGAGTTATGAACCTTGTCACATAAGATGTGGATGATGATAACGTAAATATATTTGAAGTATGAAGTTGATCCCTTTAGAAATAAATAAGTAACAGTAAAAAATAATATTTTTTAAGGAAAATTCTAAGTTCAAAGGGAGATAAATCTGAAAATATTTGTGCTAGAGTTATGAACCTTGTCACATAAGATGGGGATGATGATAACGTACATATATTTGAAGTATGAGGTTGGTCCCTTAAGAAATAAAGAAGAAACAGTAAGAAATAGTATTTTTTGAGGAAAATTCTAAGTTCAAGGGGAGATAAATCTGAAAATATTGGTGCTAGAGTTATGAACCTTGTCACATAAGATGGGGATGATGATAAGGTACATACATTTGAAGTATGAGGTTGATCCCTTAAGAAATAAAGAAGTAACAGTAAAAAATAGTATTTTTTAAGGAAAATTCTAAGTTCAAGGGGAGATAAATCTGAAAATATTGGTGCTAGAGTTATGAACCTTGTCACATAAGATGTGGTTGATGATAAGGAACATATATTTGAAGTTTGAAGTTGATACCTTAAGAAATGACAAAGTTATAGTGAAAAATATTTACTGCACCAAAACTTTAATCTAAAATCTGGACGCGGACGCGGACGCCGACGCCGGGGCGAGTAGGACAGCTCTCCATATACTTCGTATAGTCGAGCTAAAAATGGCCATTTTCACCGAAAAGCCTCCTCTTACAAGTTCAAACTGCTATGAAACTATGAAAAATGCTTCAATACTAATCAAACTTGGCACAAATGTTGACTGGACTATTGCCTTTGTAACGACATGCTCAGTCTTAAATTTCCTGTTACCATGGCAAGGAGGGGACATCTCAAAATTGCCAAAAATCACTATTTTGCCTCCATTTTTTCCATCAAAATTTATTTCAAAGTGCTGCAACTTCTCAAGGGATTGAGATAGAGTCAAAGGCTTTTCAGCGTTGGTTACACGTTATCTTATGATCGACCTGGGGTCATTTTAAGCCTCTCACAAGTCCAAAATTTTCTTGGCGATGAGGGGGACTCCGCCCCCCCTTCAAACCCTCCAAACAGAAGGGGGCACATCCCCCTTCTGGCAACCCCCTGATGTATCTTTTGGATGGGGGCCGGTGCCGAAAAAGTGCTCACTTTTTTTAGCAACCTTTCTCAAACAAAAACATGTGTTTGGGGCCCAAATAGGACATTTTTTCACTATTTCAGGCCTAAAAAGGGCGGGGGGGGGGGGGTCGAAAGTGCGTTGTTTCGCATATATATGAGGTAAAGGGTTATAACACTCTTATAACTGCTTTATGAAATAATTTGTCACAGTTAAAGTAACATGTCTCCAGTTTCATGAAAATTATCATAAAAATTTTAGAAATGTTTTTAAAAGTGAAATATTGTGAAGTTAACAAAGAATATAGTTTACATATTGCAAGAAGCACTTGCTGCAAGACGCACTTGCATCCCGCAAAGAGGCTAAAATAAGCAAAGATAGCCCTAACTGCGTTAGTACAGCAATAGAAGTATGGCAAAATCAGTCCTTAATCCCTCATAACATGTAAATTATTACTTGAATCTTAAATCTTTTACTTTTCTTAAAATCTTAGTACATTTTTCTGATGTTTAATTTTCTTGAAATATTTTTGCTCATCTGGAGGAATGCTGCTGCAACAAGCTAAGGACTAATCTGGTTTTTTGACATGACCAAACAGGAATTAGTCTTTCTCGATTTTAGACCGTTTGATGAAGGCCTGGAGTGCAAAAATTCAGGCCATTTGCTCAATTCATTTATCCAGAATAAACATTTCAATTTTTGGTTGAAAAGAATCCAAAATGAAAAGTGTTAAGCTGCATGCCTCCAGATGTGCCAAAATATTTCAAAATAATAAAACTTGTGAAAAATTATTTTAAGACAAGCAATTATCATAGTATTGCAAGCAATCCATAAGTCCCCTACCAGTTAGAACCCCATCAACATTCTGAAGGGCCATTGGCCATTCACTAATGTTTCAATTTTTCTCTATTTTAAGTAACATTGTTGGAAAAGTTCTTTAAAAGTGATCACAGGAAACAGTTTTTATGAACAGACAGACAGACAGACTTAAGGACACTCTAAAGTTAATATTTGAAACATTTTTCCTGTTACCAAACTATAACATTTTTAAAAGCAAAATTCTTAAAGAGGAGATAACTCTTGAATTAAAGATGCAATTTCATAAAAATTTTCAGCTCTTTTTGACTGATCACAAATATTGTTATATTTGCCATGTTTTAAGCCTATTTGTTGCCAAGGCAACCAATATTTTTTCAAAATAGGAAGAAAAGATAAGACATGCATAATATCCAGACTGCCATCTACCCATACGTCAAGTTTCATAAAAATATTTCCAGTACTTTTTGAGTTATCACTGGATTCAGTTTATGTGTAAAAATTTGCCATATTTTCAGTCTATGTGTTGCCATAGCAACCAGAATTTTCAACATAGAAAGAAAAGAAAAAGACGTGCATAATCTCCATACTGCCATCTATCCGTATATGAAGTTTCATAAAAATATTTTCAGTACTTTTCAAGTTATCGCGGGATCCAGTTTTGCGGACAGACGGACTGACTGACTGACAGACGGACAGACAGACAGACGGACGGAGGGTAAACCTAAAGTCCCCTCCGGTAAACCGGTAGGGGACTAAAAAGTAAAAAGATTTAAAAATTCAAGTAATAATTTATTTTTTAAGAGATAAATGAAGGATTTTGTAGTACTTATCACCATTGTGACTATGGCAGTTAGTTTTTTTTTCATATTTCGCAATTAACCTGGATTGTAAGTGCTGTTAGCAATGTTTATATTATATCCTAATTTCACTTCAAAATATTTTTACTTATAAATGGATTTTAAAAAGTTCATGGAAATTAGCATGAATCTTAAGGCATTCTTCTTTACACGGTGCATAATCACCAATAAAATCAAAACAATTTTTGTTAAAGAAAAGAAAGAAAAGAAACTTACTAATTTTTTAACAAAGGCTGTATTTTTCTTTAGACTGGAATCCAGTTTACTGAAGAAATGTTCCTCAGGTCGGTTTTCTGAAAGTGAAAATACAACTTTCGTCAGATTTCAACATAAATTGTGTTAACCATACATATTACTCAAGAAAACTTTATTGTGTATAGTGTTTCACCCTTAACCTTAACGAAGGTAATAAGGAGCAAAACGCCTAAAATGCTGCTTTCAGAATTAAGCCACTAGTCTAACAACTGCACCTTGTCATGATAAGCAAGCAAGTATTCCAAGTTATATGTTGAAAACTTTTGAAACATTTGAATAACAGGCTGCATTAAAGTTTTTACATGATGAGGATGATGACGCAGCTATCACAATAGCTAGACTTTTCTTCAAAACAGACAAGCTTAAAATCTTTAATAATTATACAAAAAAGTCTTAAAAGATATTGGTGATTTAAAGAGCAGAAATTGGTCAAAAAATAAAGATTCATAAACTTAGCACCATACTAAAACTCAACTACACTACAATACCTTCAGCATTTAGATTTTTCTCTCTTTGCTGCATTTTCTCTTCAATCTTAAATCTACATTCAGCTGCAAAGTCTTCTATACATTTCTGGAAGAAAACATGAAGATAACAAACTATGAATTCTAAAAACAAACAAGAGCACCGCTAGGCGGAGCATTATATGCCCGAAAGTGTTTTTTTTTTAGTAAGGATGAAGCATTTGTAAGACATGGGAATTCGCTGTTCATCCTATAAAATTTTACAGCTATAGGATGATTAATACTTAAGTTATTAATAATGACCTTAACCTTTGACCTTGTGACCCCAAAATCAATAGGGGCCTTCTACCTAATATGGACAATCATCCTATGAAGTTTGAACACTGTGGGCCAAATGGAACTTAAGTTATGCTCCGGAAACTGTTTCCAGTATCAAGGTAATAGTGACCTTGACCTTTGACCTTGTGACCCCAAAATCAATAGGGGTCTTCTACCCAATATGGACAATCATCCTATGAAGTTTGAACATTGTGGGTCAATTGGAACTTAAGTTATGCTCCGGAAACTGTTTTCAGTATCAAGGTAATAGTGACCTTGACCTTTGACCTTGTGACCCCAAAATCAATAGGGGTCTTCTACCCAATATGGACAATCATCCTATGAAGTTTGAACATTGTGGGTCGAATGGAACTTAAGTTATGCTCCGGAAACTGTTTTCAGTTTTAAGGTCATAGTGACCTTGACCTTTGACCTGTTGACCCCAAAATCAATAGGGGTCTTCTACCCACTATGGACAATCATCCTATGAAGTTTGAACATTGTGGACCAATTGGAACTTAAGTTATGCTCCGGAAACTGTTTTCAGTATCAAGGTAATAGCGACCTTGACCTTTGACCTTGTGACCCTAAAATTAATAGGGGTCTTCTACCTTTTATGGACAATCATCCTATGAAGTTTGAACATTGTGGGTCGAATGGAACTTAAGTTATGCTCCGGAAACTGTTTTTAGTTTTAAGGTCATAGTGACCTTGACCTTTGACCTTTTGACCCCAAAATCAATAAGGGTCTTCTACCCAATATGGACAATCATCCTATGAAGTTTGAACATTGTGGGCCAAATGGAACTTAAGTTATGCTCCGGAAACCAAATTGCTAACGGACGGACGGACGGACGGACGGACGTACGGACGGACGGACGGAGAGACAGACGGACGCCAGGGGGTATAACATAATATGCCCTTTCGGGCATATAAAAAGAAAGAGATCAGCAATAACACAGACACAACAGGTAAAACGAACACTTTAAGAACATGAACATTTCACTGTTGATATTTTTCACAGACACCACACATTTTTAACATGCATATGTATCTGTTACTGAAAATACAAATTCTGAAATATCATCATTGGTTTCTTAATTTTACATTGATTTAGACACATTTTTTGGTGATATCTTGGTGGTTGGTTGGTGCCTGTAAAGACCCATAATTGCAGTGATTTTTCACCTTATATAACTGAGGCATATAACAGGCCTCTTCCCAATTGAATTATTCTTTAAAATCATGCAGTTTTTCCAAAAATCTGAACTGACACCAAATTTTTTTTATCCAAAATTGGAAATTTTAACAATATTTTTTCCCCAAAATCAAGAGGCAAAGGCCTGATTGGGAAGTGAGAAAAAAAAACTCAATTGGAAATAAAATTTGTTCTATTCTATTCTATTCATAACCTACTTTCCTTGGAATTACCATTTTCACCAATTAGCAATATTAACATAAGCAATATTAACAAAATAGTTCTTATGTAAAATGACAAGATGGGAACAATGGACCATAACTTCACACTAGGTTACATTATCAGAATAATTTTATATGATTATCTTTTGCAAAAAAGTTATCAATTTCCAACATTCTGACCCCTCTTTATTTAGGAGACTGCTGTTTATTCACATTTTAATCTTCCTTTATCTTACACCAGAACAGATTATTATCTTTTAGATTTCCTTGTGAAGGTAAGGAGGGTAAGGTTGTCAATGTGCCTGGCTGTCAACAGTCATTGCATACCATGCTAAATATCTTTGGTAGGCTTGTTCATCTTTAAATCCGGACAAAACCATTAATCATTTTTTTGGATACTGTAAATCAAAAAATTAGTCGTGACTGAGTAGCGAACAGTGGCAACCATGATCAGACAGCATGGACTGATGACTGATACAGATCTGCACTGATCACATAAATACGTGTTGCCAATGTACAATGTGGGTACAATGTGTGGCCAAGGTACAATGTGTTAGTAAGGTACAATGTGTTGCCAAGGTACAATGTGTTGCCAAGGTACAACCTGTTGCCAAGGTACAATGTGTTGCCAAGGTACAATGTGTGCCAAAATACACATTTTGTCAAGGTACAACACGTTGCCAAGGTACAATGTGTTGCCTAGGTACACAAGGTATTGCCAAGGTATAATGTGCTGCTACGGTACAAAGTGTTGCCAAGTTTCAATGTGTTGCCAAGAGCAAGCTATAGGTAAAGGTAAAAATTATCATAAAAATTGTCATATTATCTAACCTTGTCTTCTTCCTCCTTCCTTTTCTTATCTTCCTCTTTCTGTCTTTCTTCTTCTTCTTTTCTCTGTGAAGTAATTGGTTTACAATTGATAACATTACTGAATTTATCACTATTTTTATGATTCATGATAGATTTACTGCATTTATGATTATCTGTACGATTCATGATAATATTTTTCCAATAATGATCATTTATATGAACTTTTGCCACAATTTTTATAAGCTTCAAGATGAAAACTATTTCATTATATTTGAAACAGAAAAATGTTACCATACAATTATCATACGTGATTTTGGTGAAAATTAATATTAGCAGTAACTTTGGAAGGTGTGAACATCAAATAAAAACATACATGATGGAAGTTCTGTTGTTTAGCTTGTGTTAACAACAAATAATAAACTAAGCACTGACTACCTTATTGGTGGTAACTTTTTAGACAGGATGCGTATAGTACTACATGGAACTAATGACTTAAAAAAGGAAAAAATTACTAACTTAGCTGCTTTCTATTTATAAGCAGATTTAAAGATACAAAAAGTACTACAGTGATGTTATTTGATTTAATTTTTCAAAATGTATTAATCACTTTATCATATTTGCCATTTATATAGTAATGTATTGGACTATCAATATATGGAGAATGAACTGTTATAATGATAAAAAGGTATTTATGATTCTAATCTTGATGAAACCTTGCAAACTTAGGCTGGCTATAAGCCAGAATGATCTATATTAAGGTAATCAATATTTTCATATTAATACAAGAGGATCGATAATCAATATAAATTAGTAGATTAATTTATGATTTTACAATTGCTACATAAATAAACTAATGATGTTATTTCTTTTATTTATGAATGGCAATGAGTACTTATTTCAGTACTCTAGTAAATGGTCATTCTACCGATCAATTAAACAATTGCTCTAAGGTTAATAGGACTTAATAGATGCATAAACCTCCGATTCTGTCAAACCCGTCACGATAACAAACACAATAATTCATAAGACTGACACTGTCTGCGATCCACATTCCTTTTCTACTTTGATACACAGAATTGCATACATGTGAATTCTCCCACGTTAGCGGGAGACTCCCACTTTGTGCAGCCATATTTTCAAAGATTTTTCTTAAAATAAGGGGTATATTCACAAATTAATGAAATCTCCCTCTTTTTTATGTCAGAACTTTCTTTTTTGTTTATTGCAAATTCTAAAATCTCCCTCTTTTTGAAGAAAAATCTCCCACTTGATCATCGAAAAAAGTTCACATGTATGGAATTGACTATTACTATTTATTATTAATGTGAGGATTATACCTTGAAAAATTGAAGCGATACTTTTTTCTTTTTAAACCAGTACTTAAGTATCAATTTTGTTAACTAATACTTAAACGAATGTTCTAGTTCTCTCTTAATCAGTAACTTGTTGCCATCCCTACTTCTATTGCAAACACTTTCAACTTAATTTTCTTATTTCTACAATATATCATGCCATCTTTAAACAATCTTTAGATTATTCTGAATATAAGAACTTGAATATTTTGTCATAAAAAATTAAAAATAACAAAATTTTTTATGCTAATAAAATTATCCAACCTTTATTTCTTCTTCTTCCTCTCTTTTCTTTCTCTCCTCTTCTTCCTGTTTTAGTTTTTCTTGTTTCAAACGTTCTTCTTCTTCTCTCTTCAGTTTGGCTTCACGGTCAGCTGCTGATGGTGTACTGGGTGTGGCTGTTGACGCTCCCTTCGCTGAATCACTAAAAACATCAACACATCTTCACTTTGGTTTGGTTTAAATAAATCTTAAGTTATCATGAAATGGTTTAATAGTTGTTTTTTCCCCCCCAAATATTCCCAGTTTAGTTGACGAACTTGAGGGGCATATCTAACAACTAAAATCTACCAAGTAAAAAGCATTTTAATTTATAAGAAGCTTTAGTCATTCATACATGAATGTTGTGATAATGAAGCCTTTTTTTATTCTACCATGGACAAGTCACTAAAGTATTAAGAGACCAATACCGATGTTGAAGTGAGGACAATAGCTCTTCCTATTCTCCAAATCGTCCAACTTAAAATCCTTGAAATATTGTCATCTTCAGGATTTTTTATTCAATTTCATTAATCTCAAGCTAATGAAAATCAATTTGACTTCATTTCATGTATATTTAATGTGTTTCAATTTTCCTATAAACTCAAAAGCTTGTAAAGATATTATGCTTCAATCTTCAAGCAAAACTTTAATTGATAATTTCTTTACTAAATACCTTTTAGATGCAGGAGACTTGCCAACACTATTGTCTCCGTGTCCACTCCCATGTTTACTTGTTTTATCTCTATTATCTTGCTTGTCATTGCCACGTGAAATATCTAACCTATCACCACCCCTTGAAGTATCAGATCTATCACTCCCTCTAGAAGAGTCAGACCTATCACCTCCTCTTGAACTGTCTTGCCTGTCACCACCTCTTGAGCCTCTCCCACCGCCACGTCCTGCTTGGTACCTCATCTCACTAAGTAACAATTTACAAAATGTTATCAGGGCCAAAACACCATTTTTGGGGAAGGGGCCTCAACCTTTTTCTTGGGGAAAATATGTGTGATTTTGGCATACTTTGGGAAACGGGGTCTCAAATTTTAGTCAAGCTTTTAACAAGTTCTTCAAAATTGAAAAACAAAAAGCACTGGGAAATACTAATAAAGCAGTATAAGACCTTAATTCAACACCAGCATTTAATTTTGTTCTAAATTCTATGGGAAATTTCAAAACACTGGGGAATTTTGAGGACCAAACTGGGGAAAAAAAGAGGCTAGTTTGGTTGGGGAAGCAGCCTATATTCAGATTCTACAAAGAAGGGTTTTTTTGCCCTGGTTACTCACAATTAACAAAAACATGTTTCATATAAAATTGAGGTTTAGGTAAAGTATTTGTATTGGCAAATTAATGCACCTTAAACAATGAAGAGTACCAATCAAAATTACAATATTGTATATTGAAATGGTATTTTCTGCATTAAGTAAACATATGTGTATCAAATTACAATGAGAAAAGTGTAAAGGCCCGTTTTTTTTGCCATTTTGTTTATCAAATCAGTAACTCATTAAAACAGCTGTCAGAGTACATATCTGTCTGATCCCCAAACTATCACTTTTGCATGATAATGAATCTTAAGTTATAAAACACACTATATTTAACTGACAAAAATGGTTACATTCATATATTATTTATCTTTCCTAGAAAACATTTAAAATCTATAAAGAAGTAAAGAAATACCTGTAGCTTTTTCCTGCCCCTCTTGAAGGTCTACCTGATGGAGCATCCCTACCACCCCTTGAGCTTCTACCGGTGTCACTTCCTGACCGCAGGGGGCGGCGGTCATCATTTCTTCCCGACATCTGCAATTGTTAACAGAATGATATCTAACTTTTTAATATAACATGTATAATGTACATGTAATATGAATAAGGCAAAGTCTCAAAGCGAGCTCTTTGACAGAAATTATAGGACATTATAATTTAAAGCCATCAGCTGCTTCACATTTTTATGTTTTCAATACACTTAAAACTGTACACTTTTGGTGGCACAATTCACTCAACACCATATTTTAAAACTGCATTAAAACTGCCATTAGGTATTGTATGCACTGCTTCCGTTTATTCTGGTTCCCAGTCCTATTAGGGTTCCCAAAGAAGTGTGCAGGAGTTATAAACATAGATCTATATGCAAATATGACTGATAAGAGGGCAATGATATACAAAGACCCAGAAATCCATTGCATTCAAGCAAGCTGTGTCTAAATCTACTTTACAGTCCCACAACTGATTTCCAATCATGATTGGCTGGGACTTTTAAGTCACGCTAGTTGACTGCTTCCTGGGTGTCATAACCAGTATCACACCAATGTGGATTGTAAGAATAGGCAGAGAATGCTATTTAGTGCCAATGCCAATAACAGGCTGAAAAATCAACTTCTCCAAAGAACAGCTTTTTGGCCATTAAAAAACATAGGTCATGTCACACATACTGAGTAATCCCTTTCTAGTACCATATTTGAAACAGCTGTCAGAGGGATTGACTGAGTCACTGACTGACTAGGTTTACTCTCAGTCTCAGTGACCATGATTGGCAAGACAAATGAGCTAAACACTATCTGTTTAAAGAGAACACTGTTACCTTTCTTTAGTTTTCACTTAAACATGTGTCACTTTTATATTATCTTATACATGTGCAAGTAAAGTTAAGCTAGGGTAGTGAGGACAAATCAACACTTCTCAACTTTCTGTGAAAGTGGGGGAAAATTATGATTTCGGCACCACAACCTAGGCCTTAAATAATTGCATAACTCATGATAGTTGACAATTAAAATGAAAGTATATAAATGACT